ATTTTATTTTAATTAAATCTGATATAAGAATTTATATAAAATTAATTAAAAATAGTATATTTAATAAAATTTTACTTATATTCTAAGAGCACATATTAAAAAAATTTATTTATTAAATATACAATTAAAATCATTAACATGATATTGATTTAGAAAATAATTAGTCGTTAAAAATTACATAAATACATGCTTTATTTTATTTTATTCTATCTAAATAAATAAAATTTTGTGTAAAAGTAATAATAGTGGTGTTGGTGACCCAATGGTGAAAACTTCAAAATGAGTGTTGAAGGAGTAGAGTTCGAATCCCCTTGAGTGCACAAACTTATTGAAATTTTCCAAAATTTATGAACTGGACAATTTACTGATTCAGAAGTCAACGAGTTTGATCAGGTTTTTTGAGTTTTGACCAAATCTGATTAATTTTGACCAGATCTTATTACAAACCAAGTTTATGTCATAACTCGATTTTGTAATCGATTTCGGTTCAACCAGTCAGACCAACTGGTTCGATTTGGATTTTAAAACGGTGCAAATTATCATTCCATGAAAATAGTGGATGCAAAATATATGGTTTACCAATAGCTAAGTTTGAGAAGATGTAATTGATTAAAGAATAATATGTAAGATAGTTGATGCGGGTGAATCCATTGATGTTACATATCTAGATTAAAGATATTAATTGATAACAGTGATGTTTTACAAAGTCTAAAACCAATTATACTAAAAACATTGTTATTCGAATGTTTGAAGTATGGTTATTATGAAACCAAAACATTTATATACGATCAATTATATTCTCAATAATTTTCATTGTTAAAAATTTGCAAAGAAAATTTATGTTTTTCTCCATTTAGGTTGCATTTGGATTCTAAGAAAGTTTTATAAATATATATATATATTGAATACTGGGTTTATGAGGGAGTTTGAGGGAATTTTTAAATAATTTATAAAGTTTTTCTAATGTTACATGTTCTACAATAATTTATCAAATAAATAACACAATATATACTAAATTTATAATTTTTTACTAATACAAGATATTAAATAATTAAAAAACATAATTTATAAAAATACGAGTGAACAGGATAAAGCATAGCTTGAATTCTAGTTTCTCTTTAAAAAAGAAAAAAGAAAAAAAAAAAAGAAGTTAACTACAATAACTTTGGTGGGTAACTAATACCGTAGCCATCAGTTAAAAGAAACGCAAGGCAGTCGAATAAGCATATATTCCCCTCTCTTAAGTCTGTTTGGTTTAGTTTTTAAGAGTTTTAATTTTTTAATATTATTTATATTTCATAAATTTTAATTTTAATTTTTTTTTAAAGTTTCCTTTAAAGTTTTTTTCTTAATTTTAAAAAGATTT